TTCCGATATATACATATATATATATATATAGCTTTATAATTTATCTGAGAGACCAATGTTAATGCTTGCATAGGGTTACCATACAAAGTTGGAAAGCCGTTAGAAAAGAAAATTAACACTGGATGAATACTTATCATAATAAATTATAAACTTGATTTTTTTTTTTAAACTTACCTTGTTCCTAGGTAAAAAAAATGTTTCCAGTATGTGTTGGGGTTGGGGTGGGAAGGGCTAAAGTTACACCCTCAGTTAATACATGTACCGGTACGGTACTTAATAGTATGATTCCATTGTAAACTCACGCCTATGAATCTTATTTAATTATCGGTATCTATTTATTTTTTTCATTTTTTATTTTTTTTTATTTTGCTTTTGGTCTGAGACTTGGAAAAGGTGAAAAATTCTGGCCACACATCGGTCATAAACAAACTCATCGAGTGACTTAATTTGTAAATAGACTACATGTTTTACGTTAAAATTACCCTTTAAAACCACCGATAACACATGGCAAAATTTTTGGAAAAACAATAAATACATGTGGTAAAAGTGCAGTTCAGGTGCGTATATTATTTCTGTTTGAATCTCTTATTTTCCCGTGTAAACTTATGTTAATTCTTTATAAAAAGTATTTTAAAAGTTATATACCATCTTTTTATCGGAATACAACAACAATTTAACAAATTTTACGAGATAAAAAAACTACATTTTTATGAATCTTTCGTGTTTTACGGAGCCATTGTGGTCAATCAAGGATAACTCTTCTGTCTTTAAAGATACTTTATAAAAGTTGCCCAATTGGATGAATCTTGTTAAAATAAAAGATGTATCTATTTTATAACTTTACTATCAACGATAACCGGAGTCGCCCGGGGCTGCATTCAGACAAAAACATCTGCTACGTCCTTTTAGTTCACATTGCTATTAAAGGAAATGTCAACAACAAAACAACAACACTACAGTAAAAATAATAATAATTAATTTGTCTCCCATTAAAAACAATTAAAATAACTTATGTAAACCTTTCGTTTTTCCCGTTTTCCGATGGCACCCGGAAGGATCATGATGGGATCCCGAACCCGATGTGATTCCGATAGAATCCTGGTCATGGTGGGATCCCGATCCCGGTAAGATACCGATCCCGGTGAGATCCGTTT